CTATAGGGTGCATGCTCTTGCCAGTGAGACAGAAAGCAAGAAATCACCCTCCTGGAAAGATGACCACATCGCAATCCCTTCTCCTCCATTCTCCTCTCAGGATTTTGGGCACGCACGCACACACTCTGGCCGTCAGTTTTAAGCCACTATGTCCAGGAATTGCATGACGGTCAACTACATGGAAGTCCAGTGACGTAACCATTATGTCATTTGCTGGTCCCTATATTTCTTGTTTTAAGACAGAGTCTTGCAGTTTCACAATCCCTCTGCTTCAGCTTCCCATCTAGGACTGCAGGTGTAACCCCGCCTGCCCAGCCCCTAATTTTACACAGGGTCTAGCTCTGTTGCCTGGGCCAGTCTCAAGGCTGTAGTTCTCCTGCATCAGCTTCTCTGGGCTGCTAGAATTATAGATGTCTGTGCCCTGCCTATAAATTGGATTGGGAATTAAATCCAGGCCTTGCATGCAGTCGGTCCCAGCCTTCAGAGCACACCATCTCAGCAGAATGCACCACTGTTTCTGCTCTACTTGTTATTAATATGGCTTGCCACCAGGCTAACCTAACCCCTGACTGAGGTCGCATTCTCAGGCTTCTCCACTTAGATGTTATTCTTTGTTTTTCCCCTTCACATTTCTTTGGAAATCACTATGCACAGACCATATTTGAGGCATGAGGTCTAACTTCATTACCTTTTTTTTTTTTTTTTTTTTTTGTAAATCTAAAGTCTCTTTGACATGAAGACACAAGAAAGAAAAACCAACCTACATTATCTCCATCCAGAACATACACTGGTGAGGGTGGTGGTGGTAGTCATTTTTGTTGTTGTTGTTGTTGTTTTAAAGAATTATTTTATTTTTTATTATCATCATTTTTTAAATTTAACCAGAGAGAGAGAGAGGGGATGTGAGAAAGCAAGCTGTCAGGTCTGAGACTCAAACCACAGTTGGCCATACAGGAGTCTGATACCCTAACCACTCAGGTACCTACTGGCCCCCATGCCACTTGCCGACCCTAGTGGTGGTAGTTTCATCATTCATTTCCAGATAGAATCTTGAAATGGTTTTACTTTGTTGCTGACATATAATGAAAAGGAAGAGATAATTATTTATCCCAAACACATGCATAATTTGTGAACCTACAAAGGTACTGCTAGTCTATAATGCCCTTCTCCTGGGTTAGAACCAAATTTGATATTAAAAATTCATCTAGAAGAGGTACCAGCAGATGGTGTAATGGTTAAATTGCTGGACTTCCACGTAGTGGATCATGGTTCAAGTCCTGGACTTAAAAAACTCACACTGGATGCATGTGTGTATGTGCCCAAAATCCTGAAAGGAAAATGGAAGAGAAGGGATTGTGGCATGGCCATCTCCCAGGGGGAGTGATTTCTTGCTTTCTGTCTCTCTGTTACTCTCTGTCTCTCTGGTGAGGGCATGCACCCAATAGCAAAAATCTCTCAAAAAAAACCAAAACAAAACAAACAAACAAACAAAAAAACATCTAGAATAAATGTCCTATCAGTTAAGACAAAACAAATTCTCCCACTGAAAAAAAAATTATTAAAACTTTTTTGCTCTTTCTAGTAATATGCTATTCCTCAAGACCATTCTGGATAAAAGAAATAATAATCTAAATTGTGAGTAGTATAAATAAAACATAATTATCTGCATTACAATTTTAGATGCTTTCTTTACTTCTGCATTTCATTCATTGCTATGTGAGAATTTAATAGATGCTAAGAACCACCAAGATCATTTCCTTCCTGCCTTTCTCCCCTACTCTCTCTTCATTTCTTTTCTTCTTTCTTCGTAAAAGATAAAACAATATTTTTAATGGCAAGTATTTAAAAATAAGATAATGTTTCACTATCTTAGGAAACCAACTACATTCAAAAGCAAGGCTATCTCTTTAAAAATTATCCAAGTCTAAAAAAGTAATAAGCAGGAGGAGAAAAAAAAGTGCACATTTGATGACTGAAGAGAGTTGTATGGACACAACTGGGGTCTACTTTATGGTATGTTCATTCTACTCCCTGGGGTTTATGCCTAGGATCAGATTTGGATACATGTGTAAGGATATGTCAGCTGTGCTAGCTAGTGGATATACTTGGACTAATTGAGTTCATTGGTAGAAGAATTGAATGGGGGGGGGCGGAAGGCATTGAGGGCGATCATGAATGTCAGGTACAATGGAGGAGGAAGATGGGACATGGCGGAGGGTGGGGATGGGGAACCTAGGATGGCAAAACAAAAGGCAAGGTATGCAGGACACAAAAATTGGGAAATCATTTGCTGAGAACATGTATG